AAAAAAAATATATGTATATTATTAGCCAATTTTTATGAAGACACTACAAAAAAATTTAAATTACACAATTTTACTCACAATTTAATTAAATGAGACACTAATAAATGACTCAATATATCCAATACTTTGTGTAAAGCCATAAATAAAAAATTTCATTATATACATATTATTTCTTGTATAGTTAAGGTTGTGCATGTAGTTTTTTATTTTTATTTTTAAATCTTATTAAAAGTTTATTGTCCAGCCTATAAAAAACAAGTCACCCAAAAAGTAAAATATAAGTTATTGGACAAGAAAAGACCTATGATATTAAGAAATTTACTTCTTATTTAATAGTTATAATTGCATGATATGATGCAATTTAAAGTGTTTAATACTTCTCAGCACTTTTCATAAACTCATTTTGATTTTTTAATTTTTAAAATATAAATTTTACATGAAAATTTAATAATTTTTTATAAACAATAATTATAATTTTTTTTCTAACCAAACAAAAATATTAAATAAAAACTATATGTAAAGATAAAAAAATTTAATTATTATTTATATAAATTATCAAAATTTTATTTAAAATTTTTAAAAAATTAAATTAATTCTATTAAAAATTAAAAGTTAAGAAGACTGTACTGTTTTTCCTCTTATCAAGTAATGTAATAATAATTCTATTTTCAAAAAAAAGGAAGTAATGTACTAATAATTGTCAAGTGTGAACAACTGCTACGGATGAAGATCCTACTCCCTACGTGGCTTGTTTGGACGATAATTATCTCGAAAAGATCTCGTTTGGTATTTGAAGCATATTCTATGAATCTTGGCCGTTGGTTAAGGGCTATATTCGTCAGCAAGCGTGCCGTGGCCGTAGTTTGTTGGTTGTGTTTTCTTTAGGTTAATCCTATCCCCCAACTTTGTCATGAAATCCAAATTTGATTCCTTAACTTAAAAAACTTACTATTTTAGTCCCTTAACCTGAATTTTTCGACTCCTTTTCATTCATTCCGAATTTAAGTGACGCATAACGCCCCTTGAACCCTCTAACTCTGTCTTTGAAACTATTATCATCTGAACATATGCTTTATATGCTTTAGTTCGCAAACTTCATATTATTGTTATAATTGATCCAAAATAAACAAAATTTCATCACGTAAATCACATGACTATCTCTATTTAATTATTTTACTAAGTTATCTTATCTTTGTTAGTGTCATGTTGGCAAAAAAATAGCTCATTTGAACCTATGGAGGTAAAAAAATTTCACCTAAAACACATATAGATCTCATCTTAAGTCTGTCTCCATTGGTTTAAATCAACTATATTTATGACAGTATGCCAATGAGGAGAATTGAGGAACAGAATAGAGACAATCATATGACTTACATAGATTATAGTAATCATGTAAAGTTTATGAGTTAAAAGACAAAAAGTGTATATTGTAGAGCAAATGGTCTCAAATACAGAGTAAGAGGGAATGAGGGATTTATCATATAAGCCTTTAAATGTTAATTTGGCATTTTGTTTGTTAAGTAAATTAATTCTTCTAAGAGAATAATGCAATGTAGTCTGTCCTGTGTAGGATGGATTGCATTTCACTTTTTTATTCTTTTAATAATTACAATAATTATGTGAAACTAAAGTGAGATCATCTTGAGGACATTCTCGTGGTCTAGTGATCACTTCTTTTTTATAAAAGTCTTTCTCATACTAAATTTAACAATTGTATGGTTCAAATCTCACTTTTAATGTTCAAAAAAAAAAAAAACAAAAGATCATTTTAGTCTACTTTTAGGCCTACTTTTTCAGGGATGCATTTTCCTAGGATTCTAGGAGTTTTTGTCCCTCTATTTGTGAGAGTATGGGTTTTCGTTGTGGTGTTGATGACCACGATCAGGTCTTCTTCTTCGTGTGGGTAGTGGGTGAGGTTCCCTAAGGCAAATTATCTTGCATGGAGAGGGAGCAGAATCTACAGTGATGCATGGTGGCGATGAGGGAGTTTGCCTTGTCATAGAGGTACTTGGTTGCCAAGGGGGGCTGGTTGTTGTAGGAACACATGTTTCATATGCTGCAGTGGAAGCCAGATGATGTAAGTGGGTGAATGACTTTGGCGATGCCTGCAACTGTTTTGGGAGTGGGGTGGTGTGGTGGTGCTGGTTTGACAGAGGAGAGGAACCAGCGGAGTTGGGTGGATTGCCTAGAGAGATTTATGCCGAAAAATTCTAGGATTGTCATACGTAGTCCGATTTTGTTGGGAGATAATGAACGTAGTTTAGCACTCTCATCTGATTATGGAAATTTATTGTAGATTTGTCTTTCCTGAAAGCCTTATTTTGCACTGGTTGATCTCATGTAGTTAAGGATGAAGAGATTCCACGCCTTAATTGCGATAAGGTGTGGTATTTTATTTCAAAAAGGAGTCAATTGGATTGGAAATTTTTGCGGCTAATTTGAATGTGGACTCTTTTTATTTATATTATTAATTATTTTATTCTGATTAAAAACATTTTTTTATTATAGACAAATTTAGGTGGGATTGGAAATGGTTAGGTTTGTTATATTTCTACTTAAGTTTATAATTCATTTTTTTAATGAAATTTGTCTTCTGCTATTAAAAAAACAAAAATCCTACTATGATGTATTGGACACAACAAGTAATTGTTCAGGAAAAAAAATTAATGAATTAAAATATGTTATTTGCAATTGCATCCCTGTCTTCTTCCTCCGTCCTCCATTTCTACCCTCTCTTTCCCCTTTCACTCTCCGTCGTGCATCGCGTTTCCAAGTGAAGTTACATTCTTCCCCTAGGGATATAACAAAAGAAAAATGTACTTTCTACCGCATCAACATCTCCATCTTATCATTTCATCATCTGTTCTCCATCTCTCTTCAGCTTCGTTTCTCACCATCTCAAGAATTGCCACTTGTGGATTTTGAGTGATTATTGCTTGACTTATTTAGATTTTGGCTTGGGCTACACCAATTTGAATGATGTCCTTTCCAACTTCACCATGGGCGGAGCTAAGTGTAGAACCGGGGCGGTGGACATTTCTAAAAAATTCAATACAACCCCAAACTTTTAAAAATTTAAATCATA